TCAATCGGAGCCGAGAAGCTTACGAAGAAGGTCGACTGCTTCCGACAACTCTGTCGGGTTTAAAAAGGGGTGGTTACTCAGTCATGACGCCATATATGGCAAATATTGTCTGGTCAATTATGGAGGACGAAAGCGTGGACGTGTCACGTGACAAGCAAATGGACAAAACACTTCATAAGTAGCAATGTCTTTTTCGATTTGACACGATATAGAAATGAAATAAAGTTATAGTGCTTATAGTGAAAATTAATTTCCGACCTCGCTGGGATTCGAACCCACGACCTTCGGATTTGTACTACCGATGTTCTACCAGCTGAGCTACAAGGCCAGACTGGGAGCAGGTCGGGGTGAATAGATGTTAGGTTGCGGTAGTAGAATAATGTAAAGGTATCTGGGTGATTTGAGAAAATGCGACTAGCCAATCAGCGCAAAGCTGACAAGCTTATGTTGTAAACATAACCCCCCGACGGGAGGAATTTGCACAGCAAAACTCGACCGAGCGGAGTAGGCTGCCTGCCATTTTATTCTATCCGAAAAATCAAAGCTAAACAAAAAGTGAAATTGAATATCTTTATAAAATAGTTACTTAATGTCAATCAAATATTTATCGTTATAGAAATAGAATTTTATCTTAAAAATTAAATAACAAACAATTTTATTTTTAATACCACGAGACTTCCCTCCCTGCTAAAAATAATTGGTCTGTGTTCTACGCGGGTTCTCCATTGCATGCGAAGCAATGGCCGACTTCACAAAGACTTCACAGAAGATCGTTGAAGCGATCGACGTTCAAGTCCAAAGTATCTTAGGAGGAGCCATTGCAAATCCTTTTTCTTAGCTCTTGTTTCCTCTAAGCTTTGAGGTATCTACAACATCACTGGAAGAGTTAGAGCAGCTTAGCTCCACGTATTCCAATAGAGTTAGTTATTTTGGTACAAACAACTTTTGTAGTTCATACTTGTCGCATTTTCGGCAATAAGCCGAAAGCGTACTCGACAATACAACGGGTTGACGTTATGCAACAGGTCAGAAATTTACTAGCTTTTACTTTACAATGAGAGCTAGAACGGTGACTGGGGTTTTCGTGTAATGTTGATAGCGACTGTTTATGTCGAAACGACTCAAAACAAAATTCCATCGCGAATAAAAGTTCGACTAAATTCCCTTCTGAAAAACACGTGTGTATTTAAAGTGGAAAATGTAATGAGCATTCAATTCTTAAAGGTTTAATTCTATAATCATTTTGTTTAGTTATGTAAATAAATTTATCACGACTTGTACTGTTTGTCTGAGTGGAAGGAGAGCTGCGGGTTTTCCCTTTTCTTTATTTACACTTTCAAATATGACCGCTTAACAAAAATGCACGGGCTTACTGGCTTACAACCTTGGCGAATTGGGTCGACCACTACCGTCAGAACGAAGCTTGTGATTGATCGAGACAACAAAAACAAAGAATTGTAGGATTATGTCAGACAATGTCTATTGTTCTACTGGACATCTTCGTCTTTTGTATTTTATCAAATCACAATCTTTGTTTTAACAGTAGTGTACACCCGGGCGAATTCACATGCAGGCCTGGTCGCAAATCAATCACCCAGATGACTATGAGGAGCGCATGGCGCTATCAATTGGGGAGCAAGGATGGCCAAGCGTTTAAAACGCCGATCTATCATCGCTGTGGTCCTGGTTCGATTCCCGGTCCGGGACTATATGTGATTTGAGTTTGTAGGCTGGTTCTCTTCCTTGCTCCGAGGGTTTTTCTCCAGTTCCGCTGGTTTTCCTTCCTCAGTCAAAAACTAGCTGTGAGGAGTGTCGTGTGGTAAAATAATGAATGTTGAGGTAGTGAGTGTGAGT